ATCCCATTAATAAGGGCACGCTAGCTGTCCCTAAAGGTCTGGAAACAATAAGGTCATGCTTATTCCCACTTGAGCCTGATTTGACCTGCAGTGGGGCCATAGCCCGTGCAGCCTCCCACATTAGCACTCCTCGGAGGCCATAAAATACACCAATTAGAGGCCAAATCACACTTTCCCTTAGGGGCCAATGTTTCTGTGTTTCTCAGGAAACGTATTATTTTTATCCAAAACTGATACGAAATACTCCAAAAAAGAAACCTTTAAATGTATGATCAGAAAAGTAGAAGTAGAAAACGACTAAATGCCCTTTACTAGGAAAATTAGTACTGCTTGGGAAAGAGACAGATTTGGTGGGGGAGGGAATCTCTGGAGCTCAGATAACAGCAGCATGGAAGGAATATGTTTTTATTATCAGAGAAGTTAGAAAACAGTAGGGAAAACCCAGTTAGGCAAACTTGACAAAAAAGCACATCACATCAGTCAACAGCAAGATTTGAATACCTGCCAAGCATGACTTGTGATTAGACAGGGAAAACAGCATCAGGCTTAAGACCTTGAGTTTTGGTGTCAAGTTGATTTGGGGATCATGTTCTGGGTTCTTACTGAGGGTTGTTAACCTGGCTCTCCCACCTACTAGCTGCAGGACTTGGGGTAAATAACTCAGTAACTTAAACCTCAGTCTCTTCTTCTGTAAAGTGGAGCTAATCATATCTCTTCCATAAAACTGCTGGGAGTTTAAATAATTTAACTTATTAATGTGCAGAGACCAGGGTTGGCCAACAAATATTTACAAGTGCCTGTTGTGATCTAGACAGTTGTATAAGAAATAGTTAGTTCTCTCAAACAGCACATAGTCTAAAGAAGAAGAAAAGGACAAATGTCTAATTATAACATAATGCAATACCTGTTCTAACGGAGGTTGAACAGACTGCTTTGGGAGCACAGAACAAGGGACATTTTCCAAGTGGAGTCAGACGCGGATGCTGGTTGTATGAGCCCAGGCCCGCCCCCCCACCTGCCGCCCCGTTTTCAGCATCATGTCCTACTGAAGGAGTCCTTGAGCACCAAAGGTTCTGATAATCAGTCTGGCTCCCCACCTTGCATTCAGTGTGAAAAGATTCCAAACACGACTGGCCACCTTCGACCACCCTGTTGGACCCACTGAAACCAGTCATATCTGAATCTATGCTCTTTTCAAAGACTATCATAAAACAGATCCTCTCTCAAAGGACTTCAGCCACTTCTTTTATTTTCTTGAGGGCCTTTGAGTCCACTCCACATCACAGAGTCCTTCAGCTGCAAAGCAATTCTTCCATCAAAAGCTTCCTGTAAGGACAGAAATGTCAAAATCAATTTTCTTGAAAAGAAACAAAAATGACTTTTTTCCCCAAATTGTCTTTATGGTAAAATTTATGAGAATAGAAACATATCCCAAGGGGTGCGATGGAAGGCTCATTTGAAGGATTATTTTAATCTGGACTGGAGAAAGCCCTGGAGAAATCAGTACCAAAAACTCTACTGATCCCCAAGGGACAGACTAAATGTCTGAATGTGTCCGCATCTCTAACAGCTACCGTTCTTTTGCAAAGAGCTTGTTGTATCTCACAACTATTGTTTTAATAAGAAAACCGAAATACCTGGAGTCACGGACAGAGGCTGGCACAACATATTGCAGAGAGCTCCATGATGGGAGAGGCATGCCCAGGTGCCAGGGATTCTTGGAGAGGCCCAGAGCCCCATTTAGCTGTCTGGAGCTACAGGGAGTGCTAAAATCTTACTGAACCATATCTGAGAGCACGGCCCACTTTAACTCAAATCACTACACAGAGCTCATTACAGAGTGGTCAAAATGTGATCTGGTCCCTTTTCCACAAAAGAAGATGAAGTTCTGAAGTAAAAATTAGAAAACACTCTCCCTCATTCTGTCATTACCCCCACTTAAATAATTTAAACAGAATTTAAAAGTTGTCAGCATAGCCGGGCATAGTGGCAAGTACCCATAGTCCTAGCTACTCCAGAGGCTGAGGCAAGAGGATGGCTTAAGTGCAGGAGTTCAAGTACAGCCTGGGCAACATAGCAAGACCCCATCTGCAAAAAAAAGAAAAAAAAAACAGAAAGAAAGAAAGAAATTGTTGTCTGGGCACAGTGGCTCATGCCTGTAATCCCAGCACTTTGAGAGGCCGAGGCAGGTGGAATGCTTAAGATCAGGGGTTTGAGAGCAGCCTGGGCAACATGGCAAAGCACCATCTATACAGAAAATACAAAAATTAGCCAGACATGGTGGCACATGCCTGTGGTCCCAGCTACTCAAGAGACTGAGGTGGGAGGATCACTGGATCCAGGGGGGCAGAAGTTGCAGTAACCCGAGATGACACCACTGATGTTCAGACTGGGCGACGTAGAACAAGACCTTGTCTTAAAAAAAAAAAAAAGATGTTCGGCTTTAGAGATGCCAAATCTCTATCCTTCTCCTGGCCCCCACTCCCTGCAGGCAACTGTTACTGAGTCTCAGGAAATAGAGCACTATAGGGATAGCTCAGGCAAACCATGAGGGCTGATCAACAGGAGCAATCACAGCAGTGGGCAGGGCACAGCAATAGGAAAGCAGGGTCCACTTCTGGAGAAGCCCTGGCAAGCAGGCCAGTAGCATCTGGGAAGGCAATCAGGGCTCAAGTTTAAGGACATCCACAAGGACACAGTGAGACAAGCCCCAGTCACAAGGGCAATGGCAGTAGAGGCTGCAGAATTTCAATATAGGAAGAACTTACAGGGAGCATTTTGGTTGGAAAAGAACTAGAGAAGCTGTATTTGCATAATACTCTACACAAGACTGAGAAAATGTTGATTATCTATATCAAAAAAATAGGTGTACCATGGAGAGTTGAGAGGAGAGCTAAAGCCTGCAGGACCAAGAAGTTTCCTGGATTCAGAATTCTCTGAGGTCATCCCCAAGCAGAATGGTGGATTCAGAGCCTGTGGGGGCAGGCTCTGGCTGGAGAACTCAGCTGCAGGTGCTCTGTCCCAGCAGACAGGAGGCAGGGGGACAAGGAGGGCTTGTTGCCACTCCCGGTGTGATGCAGCAGCTCAAGCATTAGCAGAGGGACGTGCATCCTTGGTTAGCAAGCAGATCCATGAGGATGTCTGGAAGTAAGGAGGGACTTGATAGGTCTGCTTAATTGCTTCCTGCCTCAAGCCCAGATTGGTCTGGGAAAGAGGCAGGGCCCATTCTGCAGGTGGGAGATTGCATGGCCAGCTGTGATGAGCTGGAGAGTCTGAGTAAGGGGAAATGGAAAGGAAGGTGGGGGTGGGGAGAACATGCTGAAATAAATCCCTGAATGTCCTGGGGCGGGAGCCGGGTCACTCAATGTGGGGAAGGAACTTCCTTCCCTCTTTCGTTATTTTCCTTCCTCTCTCTTCCTCCTCACAGGCAACCAGCTAGAGGCAGGATGAGCTGTCTCAAGGAAGATGAAATCAAAACAGCCTTTAAATTACTGGAGGTCATGTCCTGTTTGAAACAACAACAAGAAAAGAGAGCAGAGTGCTACCTCTCCAGCGGAGACCTTGCTGCCATGATCTCTAGCCAAAGAGATTACATTAGTTCCATCTTCATAGCCCAGGGACTGAGGCTTGAACCCACAAGTCTCTCTTTCTCACTCCTTTAAAGAAACTGCTAACCACTTCCACGCCAACTGCTGAAAGCATGTGTTTCTTCTACTGCAGACATTTCTGCAAAGCCTTCCCCTGAGAGCTGAGCACGGATGCAATAGTCCAAGAGGTGGTGGCTGGTGCTCTTTCATCCTTGACCCGTGATCTAGAATATTTGGCTTACAGCATAGAGAGGAGATTCCCAGCACAATAAAATAGCCCGGGAGGGAACATTATTATAGGTTCCCTTTTCAACTCAAATAGTTTAAGATTGACTGACAACCTAAGAAATATTCACCACTTTTTCATTTTCAGATCAAACATAACTGTCTTCAGAGTGTAAATCCTCTGAAGCCTGCCCTTCTTGCATCCAGTCCCTTGGGTGGCAGGTATTAAGTGACTACTCCATGTTCTCCATAGGGAGGCAGGATGCCTCGGCAGCAGAGCACACTGTTGTCAGTACTCAGAGGCTCCAGGAAGCCACCCTTATCTTAAAATAAAAGAAACGAGATTGAGCTTGGAAAGACAAAATGTAAAATCAGTGCCTGGAAAAATAGGTCAAGTCACCTTAAGAGTCAGAATACCTCCATGAGTATGTCAATCATTTGCAGTGTTGAGTGGGGACGTAGCACAGCCGGTCAACCAGCCACAAGACTATGGTAATGACCTTCCAGCACATGAAGGGGAAAGGGTGACTGCACTGAGCACTTGGCTCCTGTGGTTCCAACAGCATGCAGACCTATGAGGCAATAGGTGCATCCAGCTGATTGTAGTTCAAGGGCATAAAACATGTAGATTATTTAACTTACCAAGCAACCGCTAATGCTAATTGGGACCTCCTGTAGGCCCCCAGAGGGAGCGTGCACCAGCCAAGAGCCAAGAGCACTGCTTGAGTTTCCTCAGTGGTTCTGGATCTTAAAAATGGGCTTGGTTGCTCAGTTTACAAATGAGCTCAGTTACTGTAAGTCTGCCCTTCAGAGACTAAACCTGCTGAGAGAACAAATGAATAAAATTAAGCCTCTGAGCCCGCAAGATTGAGGGTTTGACTCTGAGCCATGGAAAGTCCCTCTAGGCAATGCCTTTCTGTAAGCAGCTGGAGAGATATCCTACAGATCCTTCCTGAGCTCTGAACCACCCTGCCATGGCTCTTTGGTGAAACCTGCTCCTACTCTTTCTGACATAGACTAACACAAATGAAACCAGCTTTTTGAATTGGGGGAAAAAACTTCCATACTTCAGAGAATAATATAAAACAATAAATAACTGCTAAATTGCAAGGTTCATGGGGAGGACAGCAGGAGCAGCTGAGAAAGGGTTGATGGAAGCGATGGCTTGAGTGGGCCTTGTAGGTCTACATGGGTGGACAACTGATTCAGCACACTCCAGATAGGGATGGAACAGGGAGACCCAGAAAGAAGGTAAGACGACTTCACAGAGACAGTTCAGGTTTTGATGTGCTGGAACACGATACTGGAGATTAAAGGACTGAGCAGATCTTGCAGTGTCTGAAATGCCAGCCTGTTGCAAGTTCATGAAGCAGAAATGGGTCTCAGAACACTGACCTGGTAATAGTTTATGGGCTGCTCAGACAGGAGAGGGAATAGAAGGGGGAGAACCACTAATAATCAATGCAGGTGAGTGACAAAAAGGACTATTGCATTTATATTAAATTTCCTGAGGCCTGTCAAATTCTTCTCTTATTATGCTTCCAACATAAGTTCTTGGAATAGTGAGGGCAATATATTCAGTGTGAGAAATACAGCTATAGGGGTTGGGGACATTGATGCTAGGTCCAGGGAGCATTAAACAGTAGAAGAGTGTTGCTGTTACACAAATAATCACCAACCTTGCACTCTTGTGTGAGAGCTCAGCTTGTCCAGAGAACGAAGTTTTATCTTTAGATTTGCAGAATGGAGATTTCTGTAATGTTTTTAAAGGCCATCCCGCGGAGTTATCTGGCTTCCCTAGAACCACAAGAAAAAGACTGTCACTGGTAAAGCAGACTCTTCTGCACACGTTGTTTTATTCCTAAATGGGCCAGTCAAGTCTAGGGTTGAGGCGGCCTTAGAAACTTTTCAGGGTCAGCATTCAGGCATCAACAAAGCCGTTCTGATTTAGAGAACTGATGAGATAAGAATCAACTACATTCATGATTTCCCAAACTTGGCCAATTTAGAGTAAATACATGCAAACAGTCTTGTAATCGTGATTCCAAATTTTCTGATTATGCCAGGAATAAAAATCTGCAGAATTTCAAAGACTTACCGTTTCTGACACTTTCGAAATAATGTAAGATCTTTTTCAACTTAAACTAACTTTGGACAACCATTGTCAGACACTTCTGCATTTAGGTAAACAATGCCAGTTCACCTCTAAGTAAAACAGTGACCTATTTTTAGAGACCAAGGGTTTCAGTGTTTTACCATTCCGGAAATAAACATCATCATCATTCCTTCTATTTCAATGAGCACAGCTGTCTGGGTGGGGATGTAAACATCCCCTGGCCATGTTGTGAATCCAAACACAACAATGTCAGGCTGGTGTGTGAGAACCAGGAAATGAAGCTGACTACAAATTGCACAAGCTCCCATCTATTCTCATTATCTCATCTAAATGAAGCAAGACCTACAAGATAGACAACATGCTTAGGTCTCTTTGCGAAGTTAGCCCTTTTCACTGCTGGTTGTTAAATGTTCATTTTTAAAAGAAAACAATTATTTAAAGAAAGAAGTTAGCCCTTTAATTCCTACTTCTATTGGAAGTGCAAAATCCCTGATGGAACTCTATATTAATCATATTTTTTTTTGAGACAGAGTCTTGCTCTGTGGCCCAGGCTGGAATGCAGTGATTCAATCTTGGCTAACTGCAACCTCCACCTCCTAGGTTCAAGCAATTCTCCTGCCTCAGCCTCTCAAGTAGCTGAGGTTACAGGCATGTACCACCAGGCCCAGGTAGTTTTTGTATTTTTAGTAGAGACGGGGTTTTGCCATGTTGGCCAGGCTGGTCTCGAACTCCTGGCCTCAAGCGACCTGCCCACCTCGGCCTCCCAAAGTGCTAGGATTACAGGTGTGAGCCACTGTGCCTGGCCTATATTTTTTATTTTCTGTATTTTATAATATTTTCACATTTTGGAGGGTCCAGTTGGTCAGGGAGAGACTGCCCTCCCATGACCAACTTATTTCCAAGATAATAAACTGGCCTTACTCTACACCCTTCATATGCAAACAGTGTCCTGAGTCCATACCCCACAGCCACCTCCTTTATTTACCCAACAACCACCTCCTTGACCTCACATGTCAAGTCAATATTTCCTCTGCCCAAAATCCACCCAAAGCCAGGTACCAGACAACTAAGGATAGCCCCATTCCTAAAACCCACTAGAGTATCAGAAGTAGCCAGTCCTAAACTGTTTCTCCCAGCTGCCCTACCTTTCCTGCAGAAAACACAATAGAGGCTCTGGCTTGTGCTTCACCCTCACTCCTTTCTGTCTCCTGACCAACACTCCTGTGTCTGAGTCCACCTGGACTATGTGACACAAATACCATAGGTTGGGTGGCATAAACAACAAACACGCATTTCTGACAGTTCTGGAGGCTGGGAAATTCAAGGTCAAGATGCAGATCCACTGTCTGGGGAGGACCCACTCCCTAGTTTGCAGATGGACATCTTCCTGCTGTATCTTCACACAGTACAGAGAGAGGGAAAAAAAAAAAGAGAAAAGAAACAAGCTCTCTCTTGTCTCTTGTTATAAGGGCACTAAACCCACCATGAGGGCTCTACTCTCAGGACCAAATTATCTCCCAAAGGCCAAATACCTTTCCAAATACCTTCACCTTGGAGATCAGAGTTTCACCATATGAATATTGGGGAAGACACAAACGTTCAGCCCATAGCATCATGTGGCTCTGCGTGGTATGGTGTGCCCCTTCCTTGAACCCCTTCTTTAGGAAATGTAAGTAATGAAAATCTTTCAGTGTTAGCCTCTGATGAGTATCATCACTCAATCACCTCTATTATAAATTTAAATCCCGTAGGTACAATCACTGATACAAACTCCCATTCACTGGTGCTTCTGAACGTGATGCTAAATACAAATGTGCAAAGTCTCCATTCTTTCCATGTCCATCTTCCAGTGAGCCTGAACCGGGCTGTGAACAATTGGGTTGACATGACATCTGACAGGGGAAAAAAGATTTTCTCAGTTATACCAGGGTGTCAGAAAAGCCTTATCTCACAAGGAACCAATATAATTATGCCTGGCTTTCCTTTTATGCTAAGAAAAAGAGGGAGGTTCCTGACATACAGCAGAGCTCTCCTAACCTCTCACACCCAGGACATAGGCCCAGGCCCTCCTTACCCCCTGCCTGGGCCACTATGGTGGCCTCTGAACTGGCCTCCCTGACCTTCACATAGGGACAGTCATTGATGGTCTGCAGGCCAAGTCCAGTCCACAAATGTCTCTTATTTGGCCATCTTAGTATGGGTTGTTTGTTTGTTTTATAGGAAGCTAACTTTATTGATGGAAATGTTATGTGTTCCAACAAAAAGTTCCCGTAACCTGGACTCTGTAATCTCCTGTAGAACAAACATAAAAAGTTTAAGGTACGTTGGTTGGGGTTGGACAACACCACCCAAAAAATCAAAGAAGAAAAAGAATCCTTTGCTTCTCTGCTATGGAAAGAGATAGTGAGACCAGATGTCCAAAACCAGATGTCCAACACCAGATGTCTTCTGCACTGGATCAGAAGGAAGGGAAAGCTAGAGGAGAGAAGCAGGGGTGAGGGGGTTACCTGAATGAAGAGCAGGGTATTACCATAGTCCCTGATATGGTTTGGATCTGTGTCCCCGTCCCCACCAAATCTCATGTCGAATCGTAATACAATGTTGGAGGTGGGGCCTGGTGGGAGGTGATTGAATCATGGGAACAGATTTCCCTTTTTGGTACTCTTCTTGTGATAGAATTCTCACAAGATCTGATTGTTTAAAAAGCACGTGGCACCTCCCACCTCACTCTCTTCCTCCTGCTCTGGCCATGTAAAACATGGCTGCTTCCAGAAAGCTTTGCCTTCCACCATGATTGTAAGTTTCCTGAGGCCTCCTGAGAAGCAGAAGCCTGTGCAGCCTGCACAGCCATGAGTCAGTTAAACCTCTTTTCTTTATAAATTACCCAGTTTCAGGTATTTCTTCATAGCAGTGAGAGAATGGACCAATACAGTCCCAAACTGGAAAAATGCTGAAGGCTATGTCTAAGGGGGTTATAGTTTCTAATTTGAGATAAAAATTTTAAGAGAATTTTCTGAATCACACCACTCCCTCACACTGTATAGTATAATAATGGTACCTTAAAATTATAATTATACAGTGTGCTAATATAAAACTACTCCTAATATTCATCTTTAGCTGTTCAAAGAAATCAAGCATCAGTCATTCCTTATAAGCAATGTAATGTTACGGTTCTTATCACTTTGTCTAACTGAAATCCTAATGCACAAAAGGCAGCTAAAGCCAAATTAAAGAAAGAAAAGGAGAATTGGCAATGAATTGGAGGGAGGCATAGGAATCAATCACAACTCATGACAACACTTAATTACTTCCCACGAATGGTACCTTATATAACATCATTATGTTTAAACTCATTTAAACCACCATTTAACAATCAAGAGATTTCACATGAAAATCTAGGTTTCCAGCTTCTTTTAAAATTTGAAATTTTTGGTGACAGTGGCCTGTTTTCCTACATGGCAGCCATCAGCTAGAGCTGAGGCAAGGTTGCCTCTCAGCTAGGGCATAACTTCTCCAGCCTCCCATGAGCCCTCCACTGAGATTCTGGACACTGAGGGCAAATGTCAGTGGCCTTTTAAACTTGTGCTTGCTCAGTTGATTAGCTTGTAATCTAGGCACTTTTTCTACCCTCAATTGCATCATGCAATGGTGAAGAACAAAGGGCTCTGGAGCCAGGCACTGCCTGGATTCAAACCCTCGGCCACCATTCTGATCACAGGTTTGGCCTCAGCCAGCTTCACTCATCTCCCTGTGCCTCAAAACCTCATTGTTAAAGGACAATACCAAGCTTGTGGAATGGTTGTGAGGAAAAAAGATTTAGAAGCACTTAGAATAATGTCTGGCACAAAGTAAGGGTACAATTATTGTTAACTTCTAAAATCCATGTCTTTATTCAAAACAGGGTGAGGGGATGGATTGAGAGGGCCATGTGTTTTAAGAAAACTGAGACAGAGAGAGAATATTTCTTTGTAGAATAAAGAAAATTCACTCAGACATGTTTAATAAGCAAACCACCAGCTAGCTTCAGTCAGTCACTGCCTGTCTGAAAGCTCCAGACAAGCCTATATGATAGGGTACAGCTCCAGGCTCTCCCATCCCTGATCTAATATGGGAATGCCTTTCAGGTTAACTTTTCTAGAGCGAAGCTCCACTTACTTCCCTCAAAACCTTTAAAGCGGCCAGCCTCCTTAGCATCAAGGTACTTTATAATCAGTATTTACTTTATACTTCCTACGTTCTTACCAAATAAACTACCAAACACCTCCCCAGATGAACCACCAAACCTCCCCCACAAAACACCTCCCTAGAGGAACCACCTAACCTCCCCAAAAAACCACCTCCCAGAGGAACCACCAAACACTTACCCAGAGGAACCATCAAACACCTCCCCAGAGGAACCACCACACATCCCCCAAGGAACCAAGGAACCACCAAACACTGGCCTAGAGGAACCACCAAACCTCCCCAAGGAACCACCAAACATCCCCCAAGGAACCACCAAACTTCCCCCAAGGAACAACCAAACATCTCCCCAGAGGAACCACCAAACACATCCCCAGAGGAACCACCAAACCTCCCCAAAGGAACCACCAAACACTTTGAAGAGGACCTACCCCTCAAAGGGACCACCAAACACTGCCCCCCTGAGGAACCACCAAGCCTCCCCCAAGGAACCACCAAACACTTCCTCAGGGAAACCACCAAACACCTCCAAGAGGATCCACTAAACCTCCCCAGGGAACCACCAAATACCTCTCCAGAGGAACCACCAGACACTTCTTCAGAGGAACCACCAAAACCTCTCCAGGGGAATCACCAGACACGTCTCCAGAGGAAACACTAAATACCTCTCCAGAGGAACCACCGGACACCTCTCCAGAGGACCCACCAAACCTCTACAAGGAACCACCAAACAGTCCCCCAGAAGAATCACCCAAGACTTCCAAGAGGACCCACTAAACCTCCCCAAGAAACCACAAAAAACCTCCCCAGAGGAACCACCAAACATCTCCCAGAGGAACCACCAAACACCTTTCCAGAGGAGCCACCAAACACCTTTCAAGAGGAACCACCAAACACCTCTCCAGAAAAACCACCAAACACCTCCCCAGAGGAACCACCAAACCTCTCCAGAGAAACCACCAAACACCTACCCAAAGAGCCACCAAACACTCCCCCAGAGGAACAATCAAATATCTCCCACACCTACAGCACACACTGCTACCTCTGGACCCAGTATCTGCTATTATTTCTTGGCATGCCCTTCCTGCCCCATGCACAGCTTTGTCATATCCAATCCATCATTTGAGGTTTAGCACAAATGACAATTCTTATGAAAACTTAATCTCTATAGTTGAAAATAAGCTCTCCCTTGAAATTCCCCTAATGTATTAGGTCATTCTTGCATTGCTATGAGACTGGGTAATTTATAAGAAAAGAGGTTTAATTAGCTCACAGTTCTGCAGACTGTACAGGAAACATGGTGCTGGCATCTGCTTCTGGGGAGGCCTCAGGAAGCTTACAATCATGGCAGATGGTGAAGCAGGGGGCAGCATCTCGTATGGGACAGTGGGAGCCAGATCTCATGAGAACTCACTATCATGAAGACTTCACTAAGCCATGAGGGATCCACCCCCATGACCAAAACATCTCCCACCAGGCCCCACCTCCAGCATTGGGGATTACAATTCAATATGAGATTTGGACAGGGACAAATATCCAAACTATATCATTCTGCCCCTGGCACTTAGCAAATCTTATATCCTTCTCACATTGCAAAATACAATCATGCCTTCCCAACAGTTGCCCAAAGTCTTAACTCATTATAACATTAACTCAAAAATCCAAACTCTCATCTGAGACAAGTTTCTTCTACCTGCAACCCTGTAAAATCAAAAACAAGTTAGTTATTTCCAACATACAATGGAGGTACAGGCATTGGGTAAATATTCCTGTTTCAAAAGGGAGAAATCAGCCAGAAGATAGGGGTTACAGGCCCCATGAAATTTCAAAACCCGGCAAAGTAGTCATTACATCTTAAAACTCCAAAATAATCTCCTCTGACTCCATATCCTGCATCCAGTGCACACTGGTGCAAGGCTGAGTTCCCAGGGCCTTGGGCCATACCACCCATTTGGCTTTGCAGGGTGCAGCCCCCACAGCTGCTCTCGTGTGTTGGAGTTGAGTGCCTGTGGCTTTTCCAGGCACAGCCAGCAAGCTGCCAGTAGATCTACCATTCTGGGGTCTGGAAGACAGTGGCCCCCTTCCCACAGCTCCACTAGGCAATACCCCAGTGGAGACCCTGTGTGTGGGCTCCAACCCTACATATCCCCTCAGCACTGCCCTAGTAGAGTTTCTCTGTAAGGGCTCTGCCCCTGCAGCAGGCTTCTGCCTCAACATCCAGGCTTTCTCACACATCCTCTGAAATCTTGGTGGAAGCTGACAACCCTTCACTCTTGTGCTCTATGCACCAACAAGTTTAACACCATGTGGAAGCTGCCAAACTGTATGGCTTATGTTCTCCAAAGTAGCAGCTCAAGCTGTACTTGGCCCCCATTGAGCCCCAGCTGGGGCTGGAGTGGCTGGGATGTGGGAGTCAGTGTCCCAAGGCTGCACAGGGCAGTGGATCACTGGGCCTGGCCCATGAAACTATTCTTCCATCCCAGGCCTCTGGGCCTACAGTGGGAGGGACTGCTGAGAAGATCTCTGAAACACCTTCGAGGCCTTTTGGGACATTGTCTTGGATATTAACATTTGGCTCCCTTTTAGTTATGCACATTTCTAGCAAGTGGTTGCTCCTTAGCCTGCTTAAATTCCTTTCCTGAAGAAGCTTTGTTTTTCTCTGTCACATGCCCGTTCTGCAAATTTTTCAAACTTTTATGTTCTGCATCTCTTGTGAGTATAAATTCCAACTTTAAGTCATTTCTTTGCTCCCACATTTGAATATAGGCTGTTAGAAGCAGCCAGGTCACATCTTGAATGCTTTGATGCTTAGAACTTTCTTCTGCCAGATACCCTAAATCATCACCCTTTAGTTCGAACTTCCATAGATCCTTAGGGCATGGACACAATGCAGCCACACTCTTTGCTAAGGCATAAGATGTGGCCACATCTTACGTCTTACCTTTGCTCCGGCTCCCAATAAGTTCCTCATTTCCATCAGAGACCTTGGCAGCCTGGACTTCACTGTCCATATCACTATCAGCATTTTGGTCACAATCATTTAACCAGTCTCTAAGAAGTTCCAAACTTTTTAGAGAAGTTTAGGTAAGTTCCTTATCTTCATGTCTTCCTCTGAGCCCTCCAAACTTTTCCAGTCTCTGCCCATTACTCAGTTCCAAAGCTGCTTCCACATTTTCAGATATCTTTATGGCAATGCCTCGCTCTTTGGTACCAATTTTCTGTGTTAGGCCATTCTTGCACTGCTATAAAGAAGTGTCTGAAAATAGGTAATTTATAAGAAAAGAGGCTTAATTGGCTTATAGTTCTGCAAGCTGCACAGGAAGCATGGTACTGGCATCTACTTCTGAAGAGGCTTCAGGAAGCTTACATTCATGACAGAAGTCAAAGAGGGAGCCAGGATCTCACATGGTAGAGCAAGAGCAAGAGAGAGAGTGGGGGGGGGGGAGGTACCACACACTTTTAAACAACCAGATCTCATGAGAACTCACTATCATGCAGATAGCACCAAGCCATGAGGGATCCCATGACCCAAATACCTCTCACCAAGCCCCATCTCTAGCATTGGGGATTACAATTCAACATGAGATATGGAGCTGGGCACAGTGGCTCATGCCTGTAATCCCAGCACTTTGGGAGGCCAAGGTGCACGGACCACCTGAACTCAGGAGTTCAAGACAAGCCAGGGCAACATGGCAAAACCCCATCTCTACAAAAAAAAAAAAAAATACAAAAATTAGCCAGGCACCATGACATGTGCCTATAGTTCCAGTTACTCAGGAGGCTGAAGCAGGAGGATGGCTTGAGCCTGGGAGATGGATGTTGCAGTAAGCCAAGATCACAATCACTGCACTCTAGCCTGGGAGACAGAGTGAAACCTTGTCTCAAAAAAAAAAAACAAAATCAACATGAGATTTGGGCAAGGACAAATATCCAAACTATATCACCAGCATCTTCTCTTATAGCATATCACACTTTCTTCATTGAATTACAGTTATGTGTATATGTGTCTTCTTTTTTCAGTAAACTGTAAAATTCTTAATAAGACTAATTTTTTTAATTTCCCTGTGTATTAATCATAGTAAAATGCATTTAACCTAGATAAATTAAGAGAATAGAGAAATACTATTTTTCTTTCATTTTTAAAATATCTTTTCAAGATATATTCTGGGTTTTGGTAAAGCACAGAATCAGGTTAACAGTTAGAGACAGCTTCTCCTAACTTCCCAGAAAAGTAGCAGGAAGTGAGTCATGGGGGTGGAGGTGAAGAAGCCAGTGGAGGGTAGGGAAGAAAGGAAAGCATAGCATATTGAAGATGGGGGCCACATGCAAGTGACCGCCAGAATAGGGAGGCATTTTCAAGTTCTTCAAGACCAGTGGAACTGGATGTAGAAACATGTTTCCTGGCCCACAAATGCAAAACCACTTAAAACAGAATAAACCTGCCCATCTGAAAGAAGGTAGGATGATTTCAATCCCTCCTGCTCTCTAACATCAGGTCATAAATGCAAGTTATGAGAAAATAGCACTGCCATTATGAGATATCTTTTAAACAGAATGCTATGTACACCTCTATATGAGATAATTTTGAAGTCTCTATAAAATTAGTGTTTGTCCAGGAAAATTTAATTACTGATATTAACACAGGAAAAGTAACAACATAAAAAGAATGGAGCGATAACTGTGGAATAAATTAAGAAAGCTGTCCATAAAATAATGCCATCCTCTAAAAAGCAAGTGCAATGCAAATATAGCAAAAAGTTGAGATTTTCAAGATTATGAATTTCCCTCTCTTGTGCTGATTTGTATTTCCTAATTTTTCTAGGACTGCTTTTGTAATAATATAAAAGTAAATACTATTATTAATTTTAAGGTTTTAAAATACAAAATAAAATGATATATCATTTTGTCCATTAGAATGGCAGAATAGATCTTTTTACTACCAATAATTCTTCTTCTTTTTCTTGAGTCAGAGTCTCGCTCTGTTGCCAGGCTGGACTGTAGTGGCCTGATCTCGGCTCATCGCAACCTCCGCCTCCTGGGTTCAGGCAATTCTCCTGCCTCAGCCTCCAGAGTAGCTGGGACTACAGGCACATGCCACCACACCCAGCTAATTTTTGTATTTTTAGTAGAGACAGGGTTTCACTGTGTTGGCCAGGATGGTCTTGATTCCTTGACCTCATGATCCACCCGCCTTGGCCTCCCAAAGTGCTGGGATTACATGTGTGAGCCACCGCACCCAGCCTACTACCAATATACCTAATATAAAGTCTTACTATATAGCGAATAATGTGCTAAGTGGTTTATCATTGCCTCATTTAGTCCTGTCAACTCGTGTACAGCTGAGAGACTGAGGTTCACAATTAAATAACTTGCTTCAGGTTCTACAGCTATGAAACGGTAGAGGCCAGCCCACCCATACGTCTCAGGTTCCATTGCTTCAGCTGTGACCATTAGGTATACTGTCTCCTGTCCTGCAGATGGTGCTAGGAGACATTATCACATGCAGTGGCTGGAAGAGTAAACTAGTACAATCTTTTTAAAAAGCAATTGTGCAAGACATGTCAAGGGTTTTAAAAATGTTCACATTATTTGCAAATAATATCTCTAAGAATATATGCTGAGAAAATAACCTGAGATGTACTCCAAAATGTATGAACAGGATGTTCACAGCATCATTATATATTCTAGTTAGAAAAGTGAAAAATCAAGTCAAAGAAGGAAAATGGTTAAATAAATTACACTGTTTCTATTTAAAATGGTTTTCAATGACATGGCAAAATCTTACGTAAAATAAGTACGATATGAAAGTATATTTCATATGGCTGGGGGCAGTGACTCATGCCTATAATTCCAGCACTTTAGGAGGCCAAGATGGGTGGATCACTTGAGGTCAGGAGTTTGAGACTAGCCTGGGCAACTTGACATGAAACGCCATCTCTACTGAAAATACAAAAATTAGCTGGGTGTGGTGGCACGCACCCTGTAGTACCAGCTACTCAGAAGGCTGAGGCATGAAAATCGCTTGAGCCCAGGAGGCAGAGGCTGCAGTGAGCTGAGATCATACCACTGCACTCCAGCCTGTGTGACAAAATGAGACTCCATCTCAAAAAAGAAAAGTATATTTCATATAAAT